ATTGCATCTGAAATTGTTAGGCGAAAGTAGCCTACATGCCAAATTTCAGATCTCTAGAGCAATCAGAAGTGGGCTAATTTTCGATGTCAATTTTAACAACAAACATCCAAACAAACAAACAAACGCGAAGCTGAGTTAAGAAAAACGTGTTAAAAAAAGGAATGCTTCAGATGTTCTCACAAACTAATACAATCATTGCGTGCTAACTACTGCTTAGTATTTTGGATGTGTTTTCTAAGTGTGAAACAAATTAAAGAGAAAGATATCTATCATTTTGAAGCTAATAAGGGGAGATAATGATGAAATAAAACAAACATCATGTACATTACACAAAAGAGAGGCGGGGGTTTATTAGTAGTATGAATTGAATTCATTTGAAAATAACCTTTTCGAACTTAGCGTTAAATGGAACAAATAAAGTAGAGTTTACCGATTTCTGTATATTTATGAACAGATATTTATTTGTTTCTGTAGGCTTATGAACAGATAGTGTGGTCAGCACTATGCCCAGCTGCCTTTACTTTCCATGACATACGTCAGATACCCATCAGAGCTTGGTGGAGTAAGTGGCGTCTTGCGGTCTCAAGAGGTGCTCTTACTTAATAATGTTCATAATTTCTGATTTTAATTAGAGATATGAGCAGACTGTAAAATTTAATCGGAAATCGTCTAAATAGGCCAACTTCAGCACACCATGCCTTTCACACACATGAACCAGTAGGTAGAACCACATCGCCGTATGGACAAGTTAGCTACATGTCTCCATCACGTGACTCAGCAGGGGAGGCTACTCTCATGTCAAGATATTCACTGCACAACCAGGGGTCAAGAAGTACGTCGATGAATTAATTAGCCGAAAGGCTAGCGTTATACCATTCAGGTTCGCGATACTAAGGGAGAGCACTTAAGTAACTTCGTAGAGGAATACGAAAAACTCCAATCTTCAATTCCCAGGCTAGTACAAGATGACTAAGCTACATTTTTTTTTATAATTGTAAATTAGTTGTAGCTTAATAGCTAGTAGAATTTAACCTTAAACTAAGCAAAATTTTAAATCCTGAAACAACCAACACCCTAGCTCTAACCTTATTTTTTTATATTTTGTTGTAGATACATGTTATGGGAATATACGTGTATGACTAATCAAGAAATTGGTTTACCACGGTTATTTAGTTACACAAACCCAGCACTACACCTAATACAACATCACATAACTGACCCAAACCTCGGCCCTAAACTGTAATTCCAGGCCCCAATCCCACCTTGTTAAGATGCTAGACCTAGCAGTTCTACAATGATATTAATGTGGCTCCATTAGAACATACAAATAAGAAACACGGAATGATTTCACAATGCTTCGATGACAAAACGTGATGCCACACCATTATTTTTTTCTATAAAAAAAAATAAATAAATAATCCCCATTGACGCTTTAACTTCGTTCTGGAAAATTTACATTAGATTTCACGTAAAAAAAACACCCACAAAAAATAAATAAAATAAACCACAAACCGGTTATCTTTGCTAAAATATAAAACAAACTAAAGCTGACTAAGCAGCTTTAAAAACCCCCAGAAATATGTAACAGGCAGTTCACCAAAGCACGATTGAAGTTAATTTAAGATAAACAGGCCCGGTACTAGCACATTACACCGTACGTAAACTCAGCTGGTCTTATTAGGTCACGTGTACTCATTACGTCACCGTTTTGTACTTACCCAGACTTGATTTTGAACGGCTGTTTAGGGGCTAAAGGTCACCGTGGCGTCATTAATATTTGAGTATGCGTCACTAATATTTGAGTGCAGGTATTCATGTTGATTACGCTAAATATAATCTTCGTAGGGTTTAGGTTGATGGTAGTAGGTAAACATTGAAAGGAGTCATTATCTCTGTATAAATGTTCACTTTTCTAGTTCAGAGTTACTCGGGTATTTATGGGTAGGCCATTTTAGTGAAGGAGGTAAGTACGTAGGCTAAACAAGGCAACATTTTCAAACTAGTTTTAAGGGTAGGGCGTATGCAGAGGCGTAGCGACCCTTCCCGGCGCCCGGGGACAAACTTTCGATTTGCACCCCCCCCCCCCTCGAACTTTTCATTTACACCCCCCCCCCTCCTCAAACTTTCGATTTGCACCCCCCTCGAACTTTTCATGTGCAACCCCCCTCAAACTTTCAATTTGGCGCCCTCCCCTAAGGTCGGCGCCCGGGGACATATGTTCCCCCTCCCCCCCCCCCCCGCTACGCCTCTGGGGGTATGAATGCTAACTCCACAAGTCTGGGGTTCGAACACGCGAGTTATAGATCGTTATCTAAGAACAACAACCCATCTAGGAGGAGAGACAAATCCTAAATCAAACAACTGTTGACTTGTAGTTTGGTCTTTGTTGGAGAAAGGCTATGGAAGCAAATCTAGGGAGAGAAGCAGATTGAAATAGGTGTCATCGAGACATGTCGCATAACATGTTAGTACGTAATACCTAATTGTGTTGGAGGAAATCCGATTTAAGTTTACAACAAAGAAGAAAGAAGAAGCTACCAATAAAGTTAACATCATAAACAAACCTTATCCCGCTTCTAGACTACAGCGTTAAACCAAGACCAAACAATGACACTGTCGGCAAAAATAAATAACAACAAAAAAAAAATACCACTTTCATTCAAAGAGTGTGTTGGTCTAACAATAAAATTCTATACAAATCTCCTACTGTCGTGTTTATTTGTAAAATAACTGTAGAAAGTATAACTCTCATAGAATTCAGGTATATTTTTTTAAAACACCCACTTCGAAAACACAAAACTAAAAAATCTCCATTAAAAATAGCTGTGCTTAAAAATGTACGACAAGTACAGCTCTCTACACTTGGGTTTATACTTGGACTTTATGCCAAGCCTACGATCTCCAGTGCTAGAGCCTTCATAAAATCTTTATGTGATTACACCTCGCCCACCCACATCTCATAATCCCGAAGAGAATCGCAGCCGGTGCGTTCAAAATGGTGCGCAACGGAGCAACTCTGACAAAATAGCGCGGTGCTCGCCCTTGGTAAAAAGACATTGTTGTTGTGAGTGCTCGCCCATGAGAACAGAAGTTGAGGTAACTCTATGCGGAAGATGAAATACAAAACGATGAAAATCATGGGGGAGGTGGGGGGGGAGGTAAAAGAATTAAAGGAGGAGTAATGTGTCTTACGATGGTGAAAAACTAACGCAGGGGTTAGTGTGTCTTATGATGAAGAGTTGTGGGCCTTGAGACGGCTAAGTACAGTCTTAAGGCGGAAGTGTAAGGGAACTTCGATAATGGAGTAATTAACCTGGAGTAATTAACCTTGAGACTTAAATTTTCAGAAGATCCGACGACAGCGTACGGGAGATTTAATTAAGCTAATTAATGATACAGTTGAATGCAAAATTAACGTATTTTTTTTTCAATAAAAATAAAATTAGAAATTCTGCACTCTCTTGCACTCCCCCCCCCCCCCCCCCCCCCAACAAGGTAAAGATATTCCATTAGCCCGCGTGTAGACATTTCCTTGAAGCGACTTAATCAGCGTGAGTTGTCTCTCTCTAGGAGACAAGTTGTCGGATGGATAGTTGTTATTTGCTATTGTAACATGAATGATGTGTGGCTGTTATTTTAGGGGTTGTCATTCGTGGTTGTCAATTTTGGTTGTTGTTTTAGGGTTGTCTTTTGATGCTGTTATATTGGGTTGTCATTTTAGGGGTTGTCATTTCATGCTGTTATTTCGGATTGTTATTTTAGGGGTTGTCATTTCATGCTGTTTTTTTTTAGGTTTGTCATTTGTTGTTGCCATTTTGGGTTGTTATTTTAGGGTTGTCGTTTGCTGCTGTCCTAACGTCTTCAGATTGAGATCCACAAGGTATGTAATATCGATCAATAATTCATCAGGATTTTATTATCGATTTCTAAACATCAAACGATGAAAGGGAGGAAATAATGCGTACAATCTGAAACATCTAAACATACATTTGTTGGAACAAAAATTCCTAATCCTCGAAACAAAATTATTTTTTATAAAAATGTAATGACTTTTTTTTTACACTTGTATCAGAACAGTGCGGGGTTTAACAATTTCAGACAACTGTTTTCAGATATAAATCAATGTGAACATAAATATAAGGTTTCGAGCAGTCTGGGAAAATGAATTGTGTGGCTAAACAGGACGGTCTCCACACGACTCTATCACCCCACCCCAACACTACATCAACCCATCCGCACCCTCCCACCCAACTACAACACCCCACCCCAACACTACATCAACCCATCCGCACCCTCCCACCCAACTACAACACCACATCCCAACACTACATCAACCCATCCGCACCCTCCCACCCAACTACAACACCCCACCCCACCACTACATCAACCCATCCGCACCCTCCCACCCAACTACAACACCCCACTCCACCACTACATCAACCCATCCGCACCCTCCCACCCAACTACAACACCCCAACACTACATCAACCCATCCGCACCCTCCCACCCAACTACAACACCCCACCCCACCACACCACAATTCTCGCCGTAGCCCACTACATCCCCCAACACGCGATGGGTACTCCTCAAAAGCTGGGTAAAATTAAAGACGTCCTAGACTCATAGACGTCATACGCATACATGGAGGTCTAAGAGTTATCTTGACGTCCTACACATACAGGGACGTCCTACAATACATGTACGTCCAATAATTAACTTGACGTTCTACAAATACATAGACGTCCTACACATACATGTACGTCAAAGAATTAACTTGACGTCCTACACTACATGTAGGTCCAAGAATTAACTTGACGTCCTACACATACATGTACGTCCAAGAATTAACTTGACGTCTTACACCTACAGTGACGTCCTACAGAGCCGATAGGCCCACCACAATACCACTTACACAAGTGTACACATTGTGCACAACTGCATCATGCTCATTTTTAGTTTGTCAACACGACAACATGTTAGAGAGGGGGGGGGGCACATACCTGAGGGTGAGGGCGTCAGGCGGCCCCTGGGGGGTAGCTCCGGTAACTCAGATCTCTGCTTCATACCACTGGCGAGTAGGTGACCGTTGGTTTTCAGCTTGGGCCGATGGGCCGTGTAGCCCGAGGGGTCAACTAGAGGCCGTGGGGCGTCTCGCTGCATTTGAGCTGTCAAAGAGATCAATCCGTTATTTTAAAAATATTGAGCCGTCAAATAGTTCAACATGACGTCATTTTAAAAAATAATGAGCTGTCTAATAGTTCAATATGACTTCATTTTAAAAATATTGAGTTGTCAAATTGTTCAACATGACTTCAATTTTTTTTTTTTTTTTACAAAAATTGAGCTGTCATTAAAAAATTAACAAGGACAATTAGATCAGCTAGCATGTTATATTGGTATATATATATAATTTTAAAGGCGTTTTTTTTAAAACTAATACTGGTATTAGAAGTAAAAAAGAAAATTTAGAAATGTTTTTTAAGCAGAAATGGATCTTGAAGTACAGTATCAACAATTTCAATGGAAAAGCGTTTGTAAAACCTTTATGTAACGGAGACGTATTTGGAAAGTAAGTCAAGCGAGAATGAAAGTGGAGAGGGGGGGGGGGGGAATAATTCAAGTACAGGATTAGCCACTTGTCCCCTAAGCCTTTATCGTTAACGAGGTGCCTCAGTGGATTACTTAAGTGGATTAAGATGGATTTTAAAGCTTGGCCCGCTAATCCACATACACTCTGCCTTGACAGCTAGTCGGCGGCAGGTGTCAACGTCATCACGGAACGTCAACGTCATCACGGAACGTCAACGTCATCACGGAACGCCAACGTCATCACGGAACGTCATCGTCATCACGAGAGACTCCAGCATAAAACAACTGCTTCCTTGTAGCTTTTTATTGAATAGACACAGGCTATGGAAGCAAATCCAGAAAGACTATCAGTCTAAAATCATATTGAACGGTTCATGTGGCGCATAACATGTTGATGTCTAATACTTTAACTCTGTTGGAGGTAATCCCCTGAAATATTACTATTAAGAACGGAGAAGTTCTCTTAGGTCTCATTATATATACCTTCAATGTTCACATATTATATTTTAAAAACGAAAGCGAAAAATAATAAATTAATTATATATTGAATTACACTTAATGTTTAAATTAATGTAATGGTTACTATCTATATTCAATAAATTTAAAATGCCAAATACAAGCGATCACTCAATTCGCCAGACTAAACTACCTTGGCCTGTAATCTAAAAGTTTCTCAAAACTTTCTACAGTAGACAGTTTTCTATCCCAGACAATGTATCACCAACAAAGTACCGAAAACACGAAAACTCTACCGAGAAACAACACGACAGTCCAACCAACCCCTGCCATTGTTTATTCAAATCACAACGAGTTAATTGTTCTGTACCGAAGGCTGAGATGGATTCTTGTCCGCCTTGTGACAAAGGCAACCAAATATATGAGAACATTGCGTGTATGTATAGTTGGTTGTAGAGTACGTGTAAAGTACTTAAGTCACAGTATCCGTCATAACCTAGCCAAACAATGTGTGGGTTTATTTTTTTTTTTACGTTAACCAAAAATCTTCACTTTTTTCTAACAATTTAAAATTATGATTATTTTTTTTTAATAAAATTATATCCCTTTTGGAAATGGCTGTTGAGATTGCAGGTGAAGTAGAGTTCACGATCCCGTTACCTCGGCACATGCAGCTTAATATTTGTATATTAATACTAATAGTTTCGCTGTCTGTCTATCTATCTTTCTATCTATCTATCTATCTATCTGTCTGACAAGAACGCTCTAGAGAAAAGACAAGCAATTTAAAAACATGCATAGTAATTCGAAAAACGAAGTATGACGTCGACACATTTAGCGCACAGAGTAGAAAATAATCTCAAACCCAGAGAGTGCGCACAGTTATATGACGTCATTGATTATCGAGTAAACATTCAATACAAAGGCAATTTGGTCTAATCTAAGTGGTTTGCGTGAAGAGTTTCTTGCATACAATTCTTCGGGTAGGGGCGAAGCCCCACCCCCCACGTAAGAACGTCTGAGCCCCTCCCCCTCCCCAACTCAAAAGAAATGTCCTCATCGATACTCTATAATAAAATTAATGTGTCTAATCTAAAAAGTGGTTTTCTTGCAATGGGACGGTAGACATGTTTTTTTTTTTGGGGGGGGGGGGGGGGGGGGGGGTGGAGGGGTGGGGGGGTGTGGTGTGTGTGTGTGGGGGGGGGGGTGGGGGTGTGTGGGGGTGGTGTGTGGGGGGTGGGGGTGGTGTGTGGCGGGTGGGTTGGTTTCAGTGTTTCTTTCAGACTTTTTCCTCCCCGGAGAGGGGTGGGGGGTACTTGAAATTTTCGGGGGCGGGGGTAGAATTTTCTGGGAGGGGGCGGACACTGGAAAAAGTATATAATTATATTTCGTTGAATGGGACGGTAGACATGGTTTTTTTTTGGGGGGGGGGCGGTGGAGGGGGGGGGGGGTTGGAGGGGTGGGGGGTGGGGGGCGGTGTGTGGAGGGGGTGGTGTGTGTGGGGGGTGGGGGTGGGGGGTGGGGATGGTGTGTGGGGCTGGGGGTGGTGTGTGGTGGGGGGTGGGGGTGGTGTCTGGGGGTCGGGGGGGGGGGGGGGTGGGGGGTGGTGTGTGGGGGGTGGGTTGGTTTTAGTTTAGAGAAAAGAGACAGCACTATCAGCCTAGCGCCCGTTGTACCCTTCCTCAACGGGCCATTTTTCTCGTTGAGATATAACCATGGTTTTTTTTACTTTCTCGTATATACGTAGTATAGAGAAAGTATTGTAATCGTGCAAAAAAAAAATCGAGATTTTTACAAATCTCGACGTTTTACACCTCACTGATACGGAAAAACATAATTTTGCAATCTTGTCCGTATGTCTGTGTGTGTGTGTGTGTGTGTGTGTGTGTGTGTCTGTGTGTCCGTGTGTAAACACGATAACTTGAGTACCGTTACAGCTAGGTTGATGAAATTTCATATATAAGTATTTTATCAAAATCGTAGATCCGTATCAACTTTTGAGCGATTTTCGATAACCGGAAGTGGTACTTTTCCTACTTTGAATTTTTCAAAAGCCTATAACTTGAGTACTATTTCAGATAGATACATGAAATTTCACATGTAAGTAAAAGATCTAATTCTCTACCTTCTGTTAAATTTTGAGTAATTTCGGTTGACTGGAAGTAGTAATTTACGCTACTTTTGATTTCTCAAAAAACTAATGTAAATTTTAGAAGTACTAATAATATTGCGCACTATTATGCGCTTTTTTATTCGGCGTTCACTTGGTGTGCAATTAATTTGTCTACGAGATTTTATTCTATTTTTAAAACTTTAAGTATTTAAAATGGATTAAAAATCATGTCTATAGCCCGAGTTCCCATCCCCTGTTATTTTATATAAGAATATTCGAGAAAGTTTAGGGGAGATCACTCCCGGTTTATTTTAAATGTTGCTAAAGGAAGTTGAAATTGTGATATTCGCAGATCAATCATTGTGATTTGTTTTAAAAAATACTTCCGGGGTTGTAAAATTTGCACAACTATTTTGTGTGTGTTGAAAACGTGGCTCTAATTTTTCAACTTTCCAAGCCATTAACTGTGTTTTATCTACAACAAATACTTTTATCGGCACCATCTACATTGTTGTTTCCCCAAAACCCGGATGCTGCATTCATGTCCTATATTTAGACTTCAGTTCTTGGATCTACTTGTAATGTTCAAGTGTAACAACCGGCAACTGTTATACAAAGTACTCAAAGAACCGGTCTATGATGTAACAACCGGCAACTGTTATACAAAGTACTCAAAGAACCGGTCTGTGATGTAACAACCGGCAACTGTTATACAAAGTACTCAAAGAACCGGTCTAACAACCGGCAACTGTTATACAAAGTACTAAAAGAACCTGTCTGTGGTGTAACAACCGGCAACTGTTATACAAAGTACTCAAAGAACCGGTCTAACAACCGGCAACTGTTATACAAAGTACTAAAAGAACCGGTCTGTGGTGTAACAACCGGCAACTGTTATACAAAGTACTCAAAGAACCGGTCTAACAACCGGCAACTGTTATACAAAGTACTAAAAGAACCGGTCTGTGGTGTAACAACCGGCAACTGTTATACAAAGTACTCAAAGAACCGGTCTAACAACCGGCAACTGTTATACAAAGTACTAAAAGAACCGGTCTGTGGTGTAACAACCGGCAACTGTTATACAAAGTACTCAAAGAACCGGTCTAACAACCGGCAACTGTTATACAAAGTACTCAAAGAACCGGTCTATGATGTAACAACCGGCAACTGTTATACAAAGTACTCAAAGAACCGGTCTATGATGTAACAACCGGGAACTGTTATACAAAGTACTAAAAGAACCGGTCTGTGATGTAACAACCGGGAACTGTTATACAAAGTACTCAAAGAACCGGTCTAACAACCGGGAACTGTTATACAAAGTACTAAAAGAACCGGTCTATGATGTAACAACCGGCAACTGTTATACAAAGTACTCAAAGAACCGGTCTAACAACCGGCAACTGTTATACAAAGTACTAAAAGAACCGGCCTGTGATGTAACAACGCCCCTGGCTTTAGATTCTAGACCTGTGTTTACAATGATTCTGTTTCCACAGGTCACGTGGTTACACCTGGCCCGGCACCAGACAACACCTTCAGCACGCTCCTCCCCTGTTACATCACAGAGATGACACACCTGTACAGGTGTTCCACACGCTGGCATCAAGTCGACCAGGTCCTGACGTCAGGCTAATTCTTATATTTTCTAGACAAACCCGACCGATACCTTTCACGTGAGGGGGGGGGTTGAAGGTTAAAGGTAGACAAATATCGATTTAATTTTCACATTTTTTTTTGTATGTTTGTTCTCCATCTAAAAATTCAGCTCTTTGTTCTAGAGTTTTCTGACGTGTTGCTAAGATAAATCCACGCGGGACTGGATTTAAGAGCTCACGTTTTAATCTGTCGAAAACTTTTAGTTTTATTTGTCTGCCAACGAGGCAAAGCTTTCACGAAGCCTATGGGTTTATTTTGAATGAGATTTTAGGCTCAGAACTAGTAACTTGCCCCGTCTTATGAACGAGCAAGTTTCAAAAATTATACGAGCACAGTGAATCGTCTTGATACAAGAAATCTGTAAGTTATAAGCTAGCAGTGTCTACCGTCATAATACAAACTATCTGTGTGATTTAAGCATTGTATTTCGTTTTTTATTGTTAGCAAGTTTAAAGTTGTAAACTAGTAAAGTCCAGTCTTGCTACGAGCATGCTTTGAGCTATAAACTAGCAAAGTGTCCCGTTTTATTGCAACATGTTTTATTTTGTTATTACGTGACGATGGAAAAACTCGCGCGTATTAACTACAGCTTTACGAGGCAGAGAGAACTAATTACATAGGCTTGAAGTGAAATCCCTGCTTGAAAAAGCTAAGCTTGTTTTGACACCTTTATAGGCAGCTTTGTGGTTAAAAAAAATAATATCAAAACAAAATTTTACGAGATTTTTAGACTCATAAAAACGTCAATTGTGTATAAATAATTTTGTCGGTCGGTATCGCTGTTAAGGTCAGGGTTAGGATTAAGGTGAGGGTTATGGCTAAGAGTTGCATTAATAAGGATAATGGTTAAATCTTGGATCAGGAAAAGGGATATGACCAGGATTAGGGCATGAGTCAGGGTTAAGATTAGAAAGGATCCAGTACCAGAACTTTGAACTTGAATCGCAATAGGGCTGGTAAGTAGGTCACCAACCAGTTCTACGGCTCAATAAAACCAGCATGAGCCATATAACTGTTTACTGACCTACTTACCAGCCCTATAGGGTTCGACACATACTTGGGGGAGCTATGCAAACAAGATACATTGCTGCGATACAACCTGCGGACGATACAGCCTGCAGACGTTTCGAAGATTCCAGAATCATTTCTTACCTTGGGCGACACAGATGGGGCAGATCTCGCTGTTGAACATGCAGGTGTAGCAGCGCTCGTGACCGCAGGAGTCGATCAACTTCCGCTTCTTGCCGCTGTCGAAAGGTCGGTGACACGCTGGGCAGAGGTCACTCGTCTCCATAGAGCTGGAATCTTGATCTGTTCAGAGAGAAGGGAGGTTCATGTAGCTGTTTGTCTTTTCAGAGGAGTTGGGGTTTATGTAGATAAAACTTTGGGCTGACAGGAGAGAAGGTAGGGTGATGTAGTTGTTTGTCTTTTCAGAGGGGTTGGGGTTTATATAGATACAACTTTGGGTTGTCCAGAGAGAAGGGAGGTTGATGTAGTTGTTTGTCTTTTCAGAGGGGTTGGGGTTTATGTAGATAAAACTTAAGGCTGCTAAAAGAGGTTAGGTTTATTTAGATTGAGTTTTGTCTGATTATAGAGAAGTTAGGCTTTAAGGATGGTCTGCTTATAGATTGACAAAAGACGTTCTTGTTAACCAACTTTACATCGCTTTGTTTCCTTACATTAAAAACTTCATTGATTGATCTCAATTTACTAAGGTAAAGTAAAAATTCTTATTCACAGACTTATTAAGATTTGTATTTTTTCTGAATACGAAAAAAAATGTCCTTATTATAAATTCATGTTTGAACATAATAATTTCTTCAAAAGGTTCAAACGGAGCATTTTTGTTCAAATATACATCTACAATCAATTCTTCTAGTAGAGGAAAAAAAAAACCTCAAAAACTTTTGAACACACACAGCATGTAAATCAGAAGATATCAGAACACATCAAATAGTTCTGATCATAACAGAGTATGCTATAGCCAATAGGATTCGATTGTATGGGTAGCGTATGGGTTAATGTTATCTTTAGGAATAGCTGTGAGATAAATTATATCCCCTTCATAGACTTGAGCTTAAGGAGGTGTTATGATGTAAGATTATCAGTCGCTGGATAAAAATATATTGATCAGCTCTCTACACGGCGCATTAGCCAAAGTATAATTAATCACATTACACGCTTTTCAGAGTACGAGTTTTTACTCGACAGAAGTGGCTATTCATTTGGTCTAAGGGCCATCATCAGCCAGTGTTTGTGGCTGAGGGCCATCATTGGCCATTCCCTGATGTCTGAAGGCCATCAATGGCCGGAGTTATGTGACTGAGGGCCATCAGCAAGCACAGGATAACCGCCCCTTACGTGAACAGACCGCAAGCGATCTCACAATTTAAAGATTAGACAGACGGAGTGGGACAGAGCGGAAGTGACGCGGCGAGCCAGATACTATCAATGGAGGATCAATATTTGAAGGGAAAAGTTTCACGGTAAACCGGAAGTTTAGTTTATAGCGTGAAGGAGCAGGATTTAGACCATTCTTTACGATCAAGATTGTCTTATATTTCTTATCTTAGTTTTTCCTTTTTAAAGTACGTCGGTATGAATGAAAGGTAACTACCGTATAATATTGATATTTTTTACTGCATGGAGAGCTGTTATGGTAATGGTTAAGATTATGGTATGTTCAGGGTTAAGGATAGGGATTAGGATTCAGGGTTAAAGCTAGTTAGCCCATTCATAGTGTCGGAGACTTTTGAGCATTAAACGTGGTGTGTAACCAAAACCACAGAAGGAAACTACACAAAGGGCAGATGGATTAATGGTGTGCATAAAAGAAAGGGCAGATGGAATGATGGTGTGCATAAAAGAAAGGGCAGATGGAATGATGGTGTGCATAAAAGAAAGGGCAGATGGAATGATGGTGTGCATAAAAGAAAGGGCAGATGGATTAATGGTGTGCATAAAAGAAAGGGCAGATGGATTGATGGTGTGCATAAAAGAAAGGGCAGATGGAATGATGGTGTGCATAAAAGAAAGGGCAGATGGATTGATGGTGTGCATAAAAGAAAGGGCAGATGGATTGATGGTGTGCATAAAAGAAAGGGCAGATGGAATGATGGTGTGCATAAAAGAAAGGGCAGATGGATTAATGGTGTGCATAAAAGAAAGGGCAGATGGATTGATGGTGTGCATAAAAGAAAGGGCAGATGGAATGATGGTGTGCATAAAAGAAAGGGCAGATGGATTGATGGTGTGCATAAAAGAAAGGGCAGATGGATTGATGGTGTGCATAAAAGAAAGGGCAGATGGAATGATGGTGTGCATAAAAGAAAGGGCAGATGGATTGATGGTGTGCATAAAAGAAAGGGCAGATGGAATGATGGTGTGCATAAAAGAAAGGGCAGATGGAATGATGGTGTGCATAAAAGAAAGGGCAGATGGAATGATGGTGTGCATAAAAGAAAGGGCAGATGGATTAATGGTGTGCATAAAAGAAAGGGCAGATGGATTGATGGTGTGCATAAAAGAAAGGGCAGATGGATTGATGGTGTGCATGTAGCTAGGAGTCCAGATTTGGAAGACAAGTCTGAGTCGCAGGGTATCAAAATTTGATGGACATAGGCTTAGCACATGCAAATATTGTGTTTAGAGGTCCGGTCTCATTTCACACCAAAACTATATCTCTCTTCAAGTAGCCTTTCATACATGGGCAAGTGTCTTAAAAGGTACTTTTGGCTAGCAACTTAGGCTGGATTATAACCGGCATTGCAACATTTTGAATCATCACTCCCATAATGTAATACTTGACTACACGGACTCACAAGAGTCTAGAGAAATGATAAAAACTAGGATAAGGTTTATGCTCAGTTCTACCAAGCGTGGTTCCTAGTACCTCAACACTGTTCAGGCGAGGACTGGTCTTAAGTGCATAATACAAGACGATATCCATGTGTACCGGAAACAGCATTGTCAGGAGGGTACAATTGTGACAGGACGGAAGGGAGGTGTGTGCTATGGGGGGGGGGGGGGGTTGATTGGATTATGAGAATAACGAGGTACATGTCCGTAAATGTATGTCACGGTGACCTGACACATAGCACGCGTGTGTTTGTACTTTTAAAAATTGGTTATTTGTATTACATTGGAGGGGCTTCGTTAACAGAATTGTGGTGGTCTTAGTTACAGAAAAAGTCTTGGTCTGTTGAATAAATACTGTGAGTGTTTGAGTCAATGTGATCAGAAAAAAAGGGGGGGGGGGGGGTCTGTTAACGGAATTACGACGGGACTAGTTCACTAGATAGATGGTATCCTATAGCCGAGGACACAAAGAAGCGAATCTAATCCAGCGGTTAGACGATGACACTAGACGGGGCAATGCTTAATCCGATAATCCGCTGCACCGCTGCTGCAATATCCGGGGTGTGGATCTTTACAGGTGTTAGGTAAAATGGTTGAAGTCATACTTGCCTCGAATATATGTGTAAACAAAAGGCTACAACGTACATATATATATATATATATATATATATATATATATATATATATATATATATATATATATATATATATATATAACCCTATACATATTTATATATATATATAGAGAGAGAGAGGCCCTATATACATACAAACACATTATATATATAGTTTATTTTCTAGGCGCTGCAAAACAAACAATCCAGGCACAAGGCAATCATGAACTTTTTTTTCCCCAATCCCGGACGCGCAAGAAACAATGGCGGTAAAGCGGCTGTCAAGAAAGGACAACTCGCACGCAAGGGATGTCTGGTTAACGTGGCGGAGACCCAGGATAACAAGTTGCAGCTTGCCGGCAAAACAAAACAACACAACAAAAAACCTGGCTCAATGTGTTGACTTGATGAAAAGAATAATACAGAATGCACTAGCTCGCCGTGCTAAAAAAAATTGGGAGTTCCATTTTAGCGTCTTGGAAACAAAGAGTTTGGGGTTATGTTATAGATTTGATTTTTTTGTGTTTTTTTTTCAGATCTTTGTTGTTGAAGAAACAGGCTCCCATTGTATACGTTTGTTTAAAAGCTTAACATCCAAAGTATGTGTTTGTTTTAATGAAACAAATAGAACTACGCCGTTAGCAGCTCTTTCTCTGCTGGCTAAAATAGTCATAAACATACACAACGAAAGTGCAGAAAAATACACATTTTTTGTAAAGAGGATGAAGCTTGGCAGAAATTTCACAACAAGGCTCCACGTCAGCTTAGATTGGACTTGTTTCTGAACATCGATTTAGACATGTATCAAATAAAGAGGGTATGAATTTTTACCCGGAGCTATTAAAGTAGGTTAGTGATCAGAAAATAATCTTCTTTGTTCTTAAGTTTAGTGTTGGAAGGGATCCCATTCAACACAATTAAGTATTTAGTATACGTGTCAACTGTTTATCCGCCATTGAGACCATTGACTCCGATTTCAGCCTGCTTCTCTTTTTGGATTTGCTTCCATAGCCTTTGTCCAACCAAGAACAAACTACAAGGCAGCAGTTGTTTGATTTTGGAGTTGTCTCTTCTAGAAGAGTGGCTGTCCCCAGCTAACGAGCCTCATCTGCCCGAGGGTTCGAACTTTAGCAGCCATGAGCTTTACCGACTCGACTACGCCGACCATAAAATAATAACATGGGCCATTTTAACATAAAAGATTTCCTAGCCATGCACTACCCCATGTATGTAAACTCTGACCCCCCCCCCCCCCCACCCTCAAGTATACAAACGAACACAACCCTCCTGTTATATTGTAGCACATCCTTAGTCCTCTAGCAGGGCAATCCCCTGGCACCGGAAATGCCGTAACGCAACTCGTGTCAGAACCAGCAACGGCCGCAACATTGGAGGTATTGTCGCCCGTGTCAGGTAAAGGCCATGACACCTAGAACGGATATGACGCTTGAAGCGGCTGCGGACATGCGCAGTGACTTTTATATTTCAACGCCTGCGGGGAAGGTTCTTGAAAATGGGGTATGGATGTGGGGGTCTGGACAAAAAGATTGCAGATTCGGTCTTTGTCGTCCTGGACAATGTCGGTGTGATGTCCTCGTGACAAATGGTTGGCTGTTGGCTGAAGGGAAGGGGACAAGGTATACGGTTGGAGTGTGTGTGTGGGGGGGGATGTTGTTAGCCCAGTAGCGTAGCGAGGGGGGGCGGGGGGGGGGGACATATGTCCCCGGGCGCCGACCTTAGGGGGGGCGCCAAATTGAAAGTTTGAGGGGGGGGGGGTGCAAATGAAAAGTTCGAGGGGGGGTGCAAATCGAAAATTTGCTCCCAAGGGGGCGCCAAA